ATTTCCTCCTCTCAGAGCTTGTTTTTTCTCTGTTAACCTCTTTCCCCCAGAGTGATGCAAATGAAGAGCGAGTGGCACAAGCAGTAGGTGAGGCGTGTATCCGTCTCCATCTGGCTGATGAGCAAGTCTGTCGGGATATAATTGAGCTGTTCAGGGATGACTTCATAAGGGCCCTGCAGGAGTCATTTCTGTGGCCCACTGAAGCGTGTGCTATACTGGTGGGCCCTTCCTGTGGCAAATTTGATGTGTATGCACCTTGGAACATCACTTTGCCAAATGTTCCTAAGCCCCCCGTTAAACCACCCTCTCCTCCCAAACCGGGTTCTCCACAGAGCAGAGTACTGTTTCTCACAGACGTCCACTGGGACAGGGTGAGTGTGTGAAACGAAAAGAGCCAAAATTGAAATTGAAGTGAAATCCTGGCAAACTTGGCTATTCTTGTCCTAATTTTGTGTATGTATGTAGTCCCTCAAAGTGTGTCTGTCAGTAGGTGTGTATATGAAACCTTTTTATATTAATGTCATACGTTTGTTAAAAACAAGGTTAAAGTTAGTGATTTACAGCGTCTGTATATTTTTGGCTTGACTCAGCATAAAGTGTTATGGCTTTGATCACCTGACTTGTTTTGGTTTAACTCGTGCCTTAAAAAAATATTACTCTTTGTTCCTCCTGACAGGAATATGACGTCGGCAGTGCTGCAGACTGCAAGGAACCTCTGTGTTGTCGTAACAATTCAGGCTCTCCAAACTTGAGCAGGAGGAAGGCTGGGCACTGGGGAACTTATGGAAATTGTGACCTGCCTCTTTGGACAGTGGAGAACCTTCTGGAAAATGCTGCCAAAGCTGGGCCATGGGACTGGGTGTACTGGACTGGAGACATACCAGCACACAATGTGTGGTCACAGACCAGGGAGCAGCAGTTGTCAGAGCTTACTGTCATCTCCAGACTCATCCACAAGTAAGTTAGCTTTAAGTTTAACTGACTTTTTTTGATACTCGCTACTTTAGCTCATAAAACAGCAGATCAGAGTAGTTTTAATATTATAAAACTAACAATATATGTTGTGCTGGTTTATGGCTACATTCATTACAAACACACTGTAGTCTGACTCAGACCATGTTAACATTCATAGGGTTGTCCAGTCATAAGTTTGTCATGTGCTATCTTGAACTGGTCCAATCTCATGTTGACTCTTAACTTTTGTCCTCAGACACCTGGGACCTAATGTGATGGTTTACCCTGCTGTAGGAAACCACGAGAGCACACCAGTAAACAGCTTCCCTCCACCCTATATTCATGGCAACAGATCCTCTTCCTGGCTATATGACCAAATGGCAGAGGAATGGGCCCCGTGGTTGCCAGATCAGGCATTGAAGACTTTAAGGTTACTGAATTTTATGGTTTTATTATATGTGAATGTCCTTTGCCACAGTACTGCAGTTAAAGCTACCCGTAGGTAACAAAGCATTTACACTGGAACACGAGGAAACTGTGTTTATGATGCAGTTTCACTTTGACTGGTTACCAGTGATGGAAAGTGTTTCTTATAAACTTACTGGCCACTTTTTTTAGGTGTAGCTGTTAAACTGCTCATTAATGCAGATATCTAAACAGCCAATCACATAGCAGCAACTAACCTGATTAACTGCTCGTTAATGCAACTATCTCATTAGGCAATCACATGACAGCCACTCAGTGTGTTTAATCACGCAGACATGATGAAGACAGTCTGCTGAAGTTCAAACCGAACATCAGAATGTGGAACATGGTTATTTAATTTAATTTGAATGTGGTATGGTTGGTGGTGTCAGATGGACTGGTGTGATTATGTCCGGAACTGCTGATCTGTTGGGATTTTCCCACTCAACCATTTCTAGGATTTACAGAGAATGGGCTGAAAAAGAGAAAATGCCCAGTGAACAGCAGTTCTTTGGGTGAAAATTCCTTGTTGATGCCAGAGGTCGGAGAAGAACCTAAAGAACCATTTGTTACAACCATGGTATACAAATGGGCTACAGACCACGTCGGTCCCAGTCCTGTTGGCTAAGAACAGAAAATTAAGGCTACATTTTACACAGACTCACCAAAATTGGACATTGAAAAAACGTTTTCCTGGTCTGAGGAGTTTTGATTTCTGGTGTGATATTCGTATGGTACAGTCAGAATCTGGTATAAATAACACAAAGCATGTATCGATCTATTTGTGACATGATGTCACAAAGATCATCTCAGAGTGGTTTCTTCAACTTTGCAATGACTTCAGTGTACTCACTGGCCTCTGCTGGCCAGTGAGTGTATACAACACTTTGAGCTTCAATAAGTGACCCAGAGCCTGATAATTTCTAGTTTCATTTAAATTTGAGTCATTCAGATGTCCTGTTGTTGTAATTGCAGATATGGAGGATTCTACACAGTGCAGATTCAGCCTGGTCTGAGGCTGGTTTCTCTCAATATGAACTTTTGTGCACGAGAAAACTTTTGGCTGATGGTGAACTCCACCGATCCCGGGGATCAGCTGCAGTGGCTCATACACATTCTCCAGGCCAGCGAGGACAAGGGAGAAAAAGTGAGTTTGATCATTTAACACTGTGACATTGGGATTCTCTTATTTTAATTACCTCTGATCTCATTTATTAAGCAAAGGAAAACATTTATTATTCTTTAAAAATATCTCTTCCTTTATTGTAGGTACATATCATTGGTCACATCCCACCTGGCCTTTGTCTTAGCAGCTGGAGCTGGAACTATTATCACATTGTCAACAGGTAGCTGCAGTAGCCACTGAAGATTTAATATAAAGCTGTTAGAAACTGTTAGAAGATAACTGGAGTACTAAAGTCAGTCTGGCTACCTCTTTGTCACTTGGAGAATGATTTGAGCTCGTATTCATTAAGTAATAGTTTATTGTTTAATTGCAGAGCATTAAATGTTTCCCAATGTGAATTTAGAAAAGGTGCATGTGTAATGCTGATCAATGCAGCTAAATCCCAATAAGCAGTATTCTTGGAATTACAGCAGCGAGATACAGAGCTGGCTTATTACTAGAAACACTTTTCAGCATCTGAAAGCATGTGAACAGAGATGAATTGGTTGGTTTCTCTTTGGTAAACTACTCTCGCATCCTTTCTTCAGGTATGAAAGTACAATCACTGGACAGTTTTTTGGCCATACGCACCTGGATGAGTTCCAGATGTTTTATGATGAGGAAACCATGACCCACCCATTGGGGGTAGTGTTTATTGCTCCCAGTGTCACTACCTTTGTTGGCCTTAATCCAGGTGAGTTGATAATTGAGTTAAATCATCTTCCAGCATTTCATAAGCAGCACACTCACACGCAGCAAAAATATGTCTTTTCAGGATACCGTGTCTACTATGTTGATGGGAACTACCAAGGAAGCTCTCGGCTGGTACTCGACCATGAAACCTACATCATGAACCTTACAGAGGCAAACCACAGTCCATGGGCACCACATAGTCCACAAAAGGATCCTAAATGGACACTACTGTACCGTGCCACTGAAGCTTATGGTCTGTCTACTCTGTTCCCCTCCGATTTTAATCGGCTGATTGGGACCTTTATCAATGATGATCCTGTCTTCCAGAAGTTCTGGTATTTGAGGTATAAAGGGCACGTCTCAAAGCCTTGCAAAGAGGTCTGCAAGACCGGTATACTGTGCTACCTGCGAAGTGGGCGTTATGATGACCTGAAGCAGTGCGACTACCTTAATGGTTTTAAAGGAAGCTTAGCCAGAGCTGCCACAAAAACTCTCTGTTGATCCGATGGAGTTTAGCCTGGAAAAGGCAGGGTGAGGGGGAAAAAGCAATATGACTAAATATGATACTGAGCCAAAAACAAATCATCCTCTGTTGCAGATGGACAATGATTGTTTTTTTTTTTTGTTTGTTTTTTTGTTTTTATAGGTTTGGTTTCATAAAGTCACTTGACCTATTATTCATGTTCACATGGATGTGGAACTTAGAAACCCAACTTGAGTATTTGCTGTGCCTCATCACTAATAATGTTTTAATTCACTTAGATGAATGTGGGACGGTTGACTTTTTTTCTTTAATGTCAGTTGTGAAAAGGGTGGTTAAAATTGTTCTGAAGCGCACACAGTGTTAGGCATTACAAGGATTCTTCAGTTCTCATGATTTAAGCAGTTCTTTTGAAGCCAGTGCCTTTTCTTTTCTTTTTCTTTTTTTTTGTTAAACATGAACTTATCGATTCTTGCGATATATCTTTTAAACCTCTGTCCCTCTGAAATGTTAGGCATCCATTAATTTTCTTCTTTTTATATAAATTTGGGGTTGCAAAGTGGCTGGAGCCTTTCCAGCGGTCGTGGGGCAAGAGGTGGAGCACACCCTTTATAGGTTGCAAGCCTGTGGCTAACACAGACAGGCAGCCATTCACACCCACATTGACACAAGAACCGACACATATACAGTAACCTTGCAAACTCCATACAGACCTTATTCTTGTGCCGCGATGAAGCTAATCTCAGTCCCACAGTGTGACTCAAATGTTTTGGCACTTTAATATCTTTTTTTTTTTTTTTTTTTTAGTCCTTCGTCAGCACCATTGTTTGGATTTTAGGTCTGTGCTTTATGTAATCCACCTTATGTGCAACATTTTCTGCCTCAGCAAAAACATCTTTTAGCCAACCAAAGAGCAGTATTTTACATTCTTAATGTTTACTTCTGCCTGCACTTTGTTTTTAGCCACTTTAGCAGTGAATAAATCTGACATGCTTGTTTGGCTCCTCAAATCTGGGGAATTAATGGTGTAACAGGAAAGTGCTTGTAATATAAGCAGTAATTTAAGCGATTGTACAGAGTGTGAATAAAATTGCTTGCTCGTTACCTATTTGTGAGGTGCAAATATTGAGTTTAAATTAAAATGATTATTTTTAATTAATCAAACACATGCACAGCTCCAACACTTTATTACAGTTTTTTGTTCTTCAGAAATTTGATACAAAAACTGCCATCAAATCATTATTTGCATTGAAGTGACCTTTAATTCATCAAAATCAAAGTAGTTTCTACAATAGCTGCTGCTTTGAAAGCTCAAATTCTAAATCATTGTGAGACTAACATCTTTTCTGAGCTCTCGTTAGCAATGTCTTAGCTTCCTCTCTCCCTTTTCCACCAAAGACAACTCTAACCCTAACCAATACCTAGGCTACTTTAGGTTTCAATAAATCCTCAAGTGGGGCTGAATAGGTAACAGCATTGGGAAATAGTTCACAAATAAAGCACTGAGCTATGAAAAGAAAAGCCACATATAGCTTTATACTTTCATGAATGCTAAATGTTGATTATTTTACTACATAAAGTACCTGCACATACAGAATAATTTAAATGCGGACATTATTCTTTGTGTATTGGTAATTCTCCATGTCTCACAAATTTAAGTGGCAAAAGCTGAGAGTAGAATTTTAGTCTACATTATTTGTAAAGTGGAGAATTGTAAGCACTTAAGATCACAACATTTAAACATGTAAATGTGCGGTATTCCTCTGGTCAATTTAAACACCAAAACTGCATTTTTTAAATTAGTGTTCAATTTGCATATTTCTGTTCATTATGCATCATTAAAGCTAGAACAGGTTTTCCAATCTTTCCATCATTCTTTTATTCAGATTCTAAGAAGAACATAGTGACACCAAAGTCTTCCTTGTACAGGTCCCAGGTCTTTGGTTTGTGTGGGTTGTCCAGCTCTTCCCTGGGTAAAAACAACCTGAGGACAGTTTAAAGAGTAAGTCATGATAATATAGTCAAAAGAATACAAAAAAAACGGTCTCTGATCTGCTGAAATAGAAAAAGAAACACACTTGTTATCTTCTATGAAGGATGTATTGAACCAGAAGTAGAATGGAACATCTTCATATCCTTTCGGGAGACCCTAAGGGTGATGAGAACAGATCACATGAATCTAATTCACAAGCTTTCCTTTAATATAGGTGAAAGGTGAAAAAGTAAGCACTCACTGCACTCGATTCAAACATGACCTTCACATCTCCTTCAACCACAGGTCCATTCTGCAGGCTGATGACTGCTGCGTTATTACCCACATCAGGAAATACCTAACAAAACGCATAAACGGGTTAAAACGCTAAAACTCTTCAATCCTGTTGTGTGAATTTGTGAGTGTGTGACAGACTTACCGTGCAGTTCTCCTGCTTGGCACACACACACTCAAACACCAGCTCTTTTCTCACAATTATCTTGACCTTGAAATCGCTACCATTACCTTTACCAACGCCTGAGCAGGAGTAGAGGGAGAAAAAAAAAGCTCATATGTGCCACTGTTGGTGGTGCAGCTATAAACGAACATGATTCAGGTTTTCTAGTTTACCTGCTATGGAGTGGATACGGATGCTTTTAATCCTGAGGCTTTTCGGTGGAGGCAGTTGTCTGTTGAACTTATTCTTCATGATTTCATAGTACCCTACGTACCGGCTCTGCAGGACACAAAAACAACAAAACCTTTTAACATATTGTGGCTGTAGGAGGTAGAGCAAGCCATCTACTAATTGGAAGGTTGGTGGTTTGATCCCTGGCTCTGCCTAGTCTGCATACCAAATATCCTTGGGCAAGATATTAACCCCAAGTAGCTATGTGATGCATCCATCGGAGTATGAATGTGTGTGAATGGTGGTTAGAAAGCATAGAAGATAGTGAATATGTGAATTTGGCATGTTCTATAGAGCGCTTTGAGTACTCTGGGAAAGTAGAAAAGAATAAGAATCAGTCCATTTACCATTAAAAAAAAAGCAAGCATTTAGTTTTTGTACGTGTATTCCAACAGGCTTAAGAAGATGTTGAGACTCCAGAATCCCTTTTATGCTTCTTGGAATTGATTTCACCGGTGCCTAAAACTCTAATATACTTATTCCAAAAGACATTCCTTTACTATTTGTTTTGATGATGGTTGTGAAGAGCGATGTCTCACAGGTACGCCCAAAATCTCCCACAAATGATTTGTAAGACAGAACCATCTGGCTGTTTCCAAGTACTTTCCTAGAAAAGGTTTGGCCAAAACCTGGCAACCTTCTCTGGTGATGTTACAAATTTTGTTAAAAAAAAAAAAAAATCCAGTTGCCTCACATGTGAAGAAGGCCGTTGTATTGCTGCCATGCTTTTGTGTTTCTGCCACATGGAGCTGCTCATCATAATGATTAGAGGTCTTCACTACAAAGAGTTTTTGATGACTTGTTGTTACCTGAGAGGGAGTCTCCACCCCCTGAAACTTGGAGCTCTGACTTTTGTCTGTCCTCCGCTCGCCAAAATACTCCAGACTGTCCTTCAGTGCGAAAAGAAACAAATGTAAGGATATAGCCTTGTTTTAAAGCACTTATCTATTTACCCTAGTTTCACAAGTAAGTAAGAGAGATGTACCTGTGCACTCTCAAACTGGTCACTGTCGATAAGCCAGGTGCACACCATAGTACCGGTGCGTCCTGGGAAAGGGAGCAGTAGAATTCACATTTAAAAAGATGCATATTTTCAAATAAGTGATCCAATGATAATGAGTCAAGGAGAGCTCACTAATGTTACCTTTCCCTCCTTTGCAGTGGATCGCAATGATGTTTTGGGGATCAGCAGACATCCACTCTCTCACGCTCGCTGTGTATTTGAGCATGTCCCTGAAACAATCCAGTACAAGAACAAAGAAAGAAGGTGTGAAAATACTAATTGGCACTGGAATTGATGCAGATGTGATGCATCTTTTTCCTGGATCCGAGTCATTTATAGAAATGCTTGAAGTCTCAACATTGGTATAGGTTTACTACAAGAAAAAGATCCAGATTAAAGAAAAGGCCACATATGAAACAGAAACCGTGCTCACTCCAAGGAGGGGACATTGTGGTCATCAATAAACACCCGTTCAACCCTGTAGTGGAAGAACTGGGGGTCGTAGCCTTTCTCACCTGGAAACAAAAAGAAACTACGCTGTTTTGTAATCCTCAACAAAAGGGCATACAGTGCATGTGAGGAAAGGTGGTGCACACTTACTGCAAAGATTGTAAACTTTATAATGGCCTTCATGTTTAGTGTCTAGAAACCTTGCCACTTCCTGCACAAAGAGAGAAGAGAAGTCAGTTAAAAGCCAATGGTAACTGTGATTGGGATCATCTTGATCTTTGTCTATGTTATTATTATGTTTGTAAAATGAAGCAGGTGGTGCATGGTTCGCATCCAAGGCCACTCACTTACCCTGATTGGATTCCTATAGAAGGCTTGCTTCCCAGAGGAGGGGAAAGACATGGCGATGACGCGGTCTACAGAGCGGGTAAAGATGCAAAATCATTGTTTTTCCTTTTTTTTTTATTATTATAATTTATTTATTTATTTATTTATTTATTTATTTAAATCTCAAAATGTATTTTCCTGACATGCATAATTGTTTAACTTCAAACACCTGCCTGTGACATAGGTAAGATCGAGGTCAAATCCATCCTTCTGATAACGCCGCTTGTTTTCAGAAATCTGAAAAATAAGCAATTTTTCCAGTGTTCTTTCTTGATGCCAACCCTAACACTTGTAACTGTCCAGTTTGCGTCTAGAATGACGACCTTACCATCCTCCTAGTGACTTTCTCCAGCTCTTTCTTCTGAGCAGCCAGTCTGAAAACCCTCACGAGGATTATTATTCTCAAGAAGCGGAGAAATGTCACAACCCTGAAAGGAAAATTGCAAAAGTGAATCATTATTCCAGGTGTTCGAAGTCCAGTGCATTCAAAAGGAGATTATAAAATCTGTAATATGGTTTACGATACTCTATGCAACTACTGCATGTAGCTTAAAACCATATGGTTAAGCTAAACAGTCATTAGACAATCAGCCAAGTCAGTCATTCATTCTCAGATTTTCACCACCAAATAAGAAAACAAAAATAACTTCAACATTTTTTTGCTTTTGTTTTTAAAGTACAATATGGCTAATTGCAAATTTACTGAAAACATTGCTCTATTGCTTTCTTTTTGGAGTAGTTTGTACACAGATCTATGAGGTCAGTCAGGAATCATAAGAGAAAACAAGTACCGTAGGTGGGCTATTGGTGTAAATTCCCATATGGAAAAGAAATACAAGATTTTTTTTTAATTCAAATATTAAATGTGTTATACTATGATATGCTCATTAAAGTGGCCCCTTTTGCATTTTTCTTATCCAACAAAATGTTTATTTACCGATCATACTTAATTATTTAATTGTTCCTTCCTACTGTATGCCTGTTGTGATGGGAATGCAATGAGCAAACATGTACCTGGGGATGAGGCTGGGACCTGACAGGTCAGAGAAGGTGTAGACCATGGTGACCACCAGTGTGACTATCACCACGCAGGCGTCTATGATGTTCAGCTTGGAGCTGAAGTACACTTTGAAACTAAAAGGAGGCCAGGATAAGTGGAAACATGACACAAGACAATTAGTATACAGCTGGAGAAAGATCTGCAGAGATCATGCAATGGACATATTCAGTGATTTCTCTGACACTCTGATGACTGTGCCATTACATTTCCTAATCCCTAACCCAAAACATTTCCTGTCTGACTTCCTTTTCACAACTTCCTGTTTAATGACAAATCAGACTTGGTTTCAGCTGATTCAAAACTCCGGTGGGAATCACTGCTTTAAACATTTCTCTTTCTCACATTAGCACGGAAACAGTTGCGATCGTGATCCACTGCATTAATGTGAACACTTCTTCTAGCGCAGTGTCAGCAAAAAATTACTTTTGCAAAAGTAAGTTTTGTCTGATTTGTTAGGCAATCCACTGGCTTCCTCAGAACAGAGGCTATTCTTCCTGGAAGGCTGGCTCATGCGCATGACTTCTTACTCACAAACGGGTGTTGATGGTTACAGAGGTGCAGAAAACAACGACTAGACTCCCACAAGCATTTCTCACTCACCCCTCCACATAGACACGCAGGAGGACATCGGCAAGGAAGAAGAAAGAGATGGTGAGGGACACAGCCTCTAACGCATTTCCAGCATCTCTACTCTTGGCTGGCAGCGAGAGATCCACAATCACCAGCACAAAGTCCACTATGATCAGTGTTACTCCAAATAAACTGGAAAGAAAGACATGCAAATGATGATAAAACATCCACTTAATTAAAAAGACAACCAGGTAGGGGTGTACCCGTTTCCAATTTGCAAAAAACACACTCACCGAAAGCCAAAGGACATGACAAACGGGGCTATCCTTTTCCGAAGATTGCTGCAAAACAGGGGACAGGGTTATATGTGCCTGTATGTAGAGCTGAAGGGTTGTGCAAATTGGATCTCTGTAAACTTACTAGTACAGCGTGTCTGGTAGTGCACTCTCCTCCTTTCCATCATCAATCTCTACTTTAGCATTCTCCATCTTTGTCATGTTTCTGAGAAGACAGATAGAGATTACGGACAAAGACACACAAATATATGTATTTGTTTGATATATAGAGAGATGAATAAAAACCTCACCCATTTACACTTGAGTCTAACCCTGGGCTAAAGTACACAGAGGACATGATGCTTCTGTTTCCTTTCTCTTTTTGTCCTGAACGTGGAGTTTCTGCATTTGGAGACAAAAGCGTGATAAGATTGAGTGCACCCATTTCAGCGCGATGCTACGTGGTTACAATGTGGAAACAAATGAGACAAGAGTGCATAAACTTTGTGTCATCGTCCTAAAACGCTGCTTTTCTTCAAACCAGTCTCTCACGCATTTCCCGGTGCTACCTGCAGGATGCAGGAGTCCACAGCGCGTCCCTAAACCACTACATTCAGCTGCAGCACGTACAAAGAAACTGCTCAAGAAAGGAATCGTTCATTCCGTTTACCTCTGGGTAAATTTTAACAAAATTTCACCGCCCGGTCCACAGTCTGTGTGATCACCATTCACTGTCCTGTTGCTTTCCTTGCAGCGTTGACGCGTTCACAACAAATCAGACCCTCAAAAAGCCCAACTAAACTAAACTCCCACCGCCTGCTTACCGTCGGGACTGTCATTCGTCAAATTATACGAGACTTCGTCTTGTGACTTCTCCCGGGGACAAAGGAAGACGGTTCAAAGGTTAACCGGGTGGATTTTTTTCTATCCATCCACTATTCCTCATCGTTTTTGCAAACGTAGCGGTTTCGAACTTCCTGGAGCTCAGTAGAAAAAAAAGAAAAAACAGGAGGAAAAAATGCCCCCCCCTCTTTATTCATATTTCCTCCTCAGCTTACTTTGACTCAAAAACAGAGTCTGACGGCAACCCTTCTGCACAGACGTATTTAAACCGCCGATAGTTACTAAACTAGCCCAACGGGCTGCCTAATTTGGAACATCTGGTTCTAATAGACTGGCCAAAATAACGAAATAGTACATTCCTGCCTTTTGCGTCACTTGTTTGTTTGTTTTTTGTCATGAATTCATGATATTTGGGTATGATATTCAGAAAAATAAAAAGTAAAAAGTAAAAAGTAAAAAAAAAAATTAAATAAATACATAGAAAACACAAAATACCTCAACTGCTCCCTTTAGGGGTCGCCACAGCGCATGTCTGCCTCCATCTGACCCATTTTCCTTGCATCATCTTTTATTACAACAACCCTCTGCGTGTTTACTTCACATGCAGAGGGTCATTTATCGTCTTCCCACACGCTGACTTCCTACACTACAGTTTGCACCTTTCCCGTGTTTTATACCACTGCATATTAAATATGCGTAAATATTATAACTTTAGTGCCCTGGGTAATGTTCACCCAGATGCTCTGCTTTTTATGAAATTACTAAGAAATCATATATTGCATTACTTTATTGCTCGAATTAGTGTTTGAAGTAGGACATTTATATAAAAAGAATGTAATTTTTTTAGGAATAATTGTCTCCCCCCCAATAGATCACTGCGTTATATTTAAAAGGCAAACCCCACAAGCAGCGCTTCTGGTATGTAAAGAATGGAGCTCTTTCAACATTTTCGGTCAGTGAAGCTATTTGCAGCTCTGAGATCAGCTCTACTTTCAAGACAATGCGATGGTTTATGAAGGAGCAAGCACAAAACTGACCTGAGTTCAGTGTTTGACGAGACCGTTCTAGTCCGAATCCTCTAATGTGAAACATGCAGAACTAGCCCAGCCTATAAATAATGCTGAGAAATTTTAGGGGAAGAGAACACCGAACCTGAAGAAAACAAGGGAAGCTTTGTGAAATGAAGGTAAGGCTTGTGGCTTCGAGATTCTTCAGGTGTTAAGAAAAAGCATTTAAAGTTTTGGATAACTTTTTGATTTTTCTTAAAGTTTTAATCTAAATTGTCTTGTTTATTTTAGAAAACGTGTTTTTTCCTAAAAGTCATGCCAGTGTTGCTGTTCTTGACTCTGCTGTGCCCAGTCTTGGTCTCCTCTTCACAGCCGTCTGTATGTATCTACTCTGTAACAAATATTTTCATTTATTTTTGTATTGACTGTGAAAACTGAAAATGTTTGCCTTAAATTGTGTTTTTTCTAGATGTGTAGAAAAAAACTGTGATGCATTACTTGCTTCCTCTGTGTGTTATCAGAATAAAAACAGAGGTATTTTTTTCCTTCCTTATTTTAAGGCAACAGACTCGTGCGGGCCTGAGTTTGCTGTTCTCAAGCGCAGCATAAGGAAACTTGAAAATAGTCTTTTGATCAGAAAATGGCAGGTTGAGCACTTGCAGACGCACAAATACTTCCGTCCGTTTCAGCCTGCTGCGTCTAACAGCAAACCTCAGGCTGATTCAGACCCCGATTCTGGTTTAAACCACAACAAGAGCGCAGCACTAGATGGACTGGATATGACGCTGACTAAACCACTTCCACCGACAGGCAATTTAATTGTATATGATAAAGGTAAGAAAAGCGCACTATGTTTGGTGCAAATCTACAGTGCATGACGCATTTTTCTATTTCTAGTTCACTGAGTTTTGCACATGCACAGCTATTTTTACTTGACATGCAACACAAAGTCAAAATGTCAATGTAAGAACAATAATCAGCAATCTCTGAAGCATTTAGTCTTTCTTCTAGACTGTTCTGAACTGTTCGACAGACAGAGACCATCAAGCGGTTTCTACCGCATAAGACCCAAATTACATCAGGAGCCCTTTTTAGTTTACTGTGACATGGATGATGGAGGAGGGTGGACAGTGTTTCAAAAACGCCGGCATGGAAGAGTTGACTTTCACAGGTAATTGTGCAGAAGAAGTAGCCCACAGCATGTGGGTGGAAGATCCCACAGCCTGTCTATCTAGTATGATGCTGATAAAGCTTGTGGGGTTTTCTGTTTGAAGTCAACTGCCAGCCTACTTCTCATTTCAGAGACTGGGTGGACTACAGAGATGGCTTTGGCGACTTCAAACTGTGGAATGACGAGTTTTGGTTGGGCAATGAACATATTTACTCTCTGCTCTCAGAAGGTCAGCAGGTCACGTTATGCACTAATGCTTCACATTAGACACCCAGTATGTGTTTTTTCATTCATATGTTGCATTTTAAAAAGTTCTAGTTCCTGTCTTATTAGCTTCTCCTTTACCAACTTTACTTTGTGTCTTTTTTGTGCTAAAGGTAAGAACCTTGTGAAGATCGATCTCATGGATTGGGATGGACAGAGAAGCTATGCGTTTTATGACAACTTCAGGATCACCGATGAGGCTGTGAGAAAAACACTTTGTGTAGCTTTTCCTTAGAATCATAAGTATAACGATCCTCCCAGGAAACATTGTTCTAATGCTCATTCCAGGATAAATATCGTCTTCAGTATGGGCAGTACAGTGGGTCAGCGGGAGATGCTCTCAGTGGAAGCAGGGGTGTGGTGGAGCAGTGGTCTTCTTGCCTCAGTGGCATGCATTTCAGCACCAGGGATCAGGTTAGTCGCACATCTGTCAAAACCATTACCACTCCAAGATGGCAAGTTGATGTTTCACAGCACGTCTAATAGACTACTCATGTGCAAATGATGAATGTGAAAACACTGATGCCGGGTGGTTGACAGGATAACGACCGGTACCTCCAGGGAAGCTGTGCCCAGGAGAATAAAGCAGGTTGGTGGTACAACAGGTGAGGCTGTCACCCACCCTTTCTGTTTCATGATGAGTCTGCATCACTTCAAATGTGATTATGAAGTTTCTGTCTCTTCACCGGGTTTTGTAATTTGGAAAATTTACCTTTGACATTGTGCCCTTAACTTCTGATCTACAGATGTCATGCAGCCAACTTAAATGGAAAATTCTATCGCAGAGGGAAGTACAAAGCCGAGTATGATGACGGTATTGTTTGGGGGACCTGGAAAGGCCTTTGGTATTCACTTAGACACACCACCATGAAAGTGCGGCCTCTGGTTTTCCTAGACGCCGTGGGCAGTGGAGCGGGCGAAATTTAAAAACCTAAACGCTAAAAAACAAGAGCAAACATTCTTTGCCATATTTTAATTTCTCCCTTTGCTATTTTTCTATCAAATATCAGTAATACCGTGTTGTATGCATTTCTTTCTGTAAAGTGTCTATTTACCAAACACTAAAATAAACAGCATTTCATCCATAACACCTCTCTGATGTTCATTTGATTGTCCTCAAGCATAGTTACAATGGATACAACTGTGTAATTTTCATTACATATTTTACACTGCTTAGATCTCACATTAAACAGTGAAGCTGTCAGGATCTGGAGACTCGACTGGAAAGTGCTATCAGGCACCCGAGTTCCTTGGTCTCCACCCCTGGGCGGAGCCATCTCCCTGCTGCAGTCCTGCACACCTGAGACTGATTCGGGGCAATCAGGTTGAGGATTTAAGGTCCCCTCAGCCTCTCCTTCACCTCTAGTGCGTCAAAGACCTCACGTTGGTATTGACTCTACGGCTTTTCACGCTCTTGCCACTTTTTCATTGTTAACCTTGGTTTCATGTGCATTTCCTGGACCTTCGTTGTCATCGCCCTCAACCCCAGCTCGCCTTACCTGCCCTCCAGCCTCACTCACCACCTTGGACACAGCGGAACTCAGGTCTGCCAGCCGTTCCACTACTCCCCTGGACTACCACCGCCTCTCCCTGAAAGCGAGATTCACGCCGATCACCAACGCAACCGCTCCGTTCTCGTCTCAACCTGCTAAATCCCCGTTCACCCCCCCTCACTGACCCACGGCTACTTCGTTAGCAACTCCTTGTCACGAATTCACTGGTTGACTAAATAATAAACACTGCAAAACGTTTGAGCCGTCTCTGTTTGTGGTTATCTGCAATCGAGTCCAATTTAGCTATCGGCCCGTGGCCATTGTGACAGAAGCAGTTTAGCTGGTGCGGTTTCAGTATTGTAGAGTACTGTAATTGCAGAAGACTTGGCAGCACTCTAAAAGAAACACATACAGTTATGTGGAAATAAAACTAGAGCATTATCTGGGTCTAGGTATTGATTTTAAGAGTGCATTTAGAAAATGTGACAGGTTTATTGTACCAGCTGTTGAAGTACAGAGGAGAAATGTATTTCCAAAGTGTGTTAAAAATCTCAGCAATGGCATACAGTGAATTAAATAAAACTTTCAGTATGTAATAGTATTACAAAATATCAAAACAAACCTTAAAAAATTCCAAACTAAAGTCAAAAATAAGAACTTTAAAAGATAAAAACATATAGCGATAAATCTAACATTACAATACATAGGTGGGTACAGAGATGTAGGGTGAAGGGTAAAGAATAAATGTGATTTTCAGTGGCAGCTTTTCTCAGCTGTAGTTTGTGATCTACTCCTCCTCCCATACATATGACGAGGACAGATCTAGATCCAGCATCTTTTGTTCTGCCTCGCTCAGCTTGTAGGGAGAGCCATCACTGCTGGTGTACTCCTCAGTCACGGGCAGAGAGTGGCAGCGACCTTTCCTCTGGTCTGAAGATGAAGCAGTAAAGCTGGAGCTGCGCTTGCGCCCCTTGGCTGCAGAGTAGGACTGAGCCTCCTTTAATTTCCGGGCCAGGATGTTCCTCTGAATTGGTGAGGGGCCGCGACGGTTCCAGTTCTGTTCAGCCCGATCCAAACTCAACTGGTTCACTTCCTGAGAACTAACAGGTGCTGCGGCGGGACCCCCGATCCCTGAAACTTGGTCACTGTTTTTTCTCCTCTCTGCTGTGCTATTAAAGTCAGATTTACCCTGTGTCCCAGATGCTGAAATTGTGTTTGTGTTGGTTCCTGCATGTTTGATTTCATTAATGTGTGAAAGCACTGGTTTCTCTGTCCAGGGCTTCCTCTGGTCACTTTTCTGTAATCTGGATCTAGCCCACTCTGAAGCCCCATGCTCTGGAATTGGATAAGAGCGATATGGCTGTCTCTCCCACCCTCCTTTGCTCCAACAGCTTCCTTCGGGAAGAGTCCGAGATCCCACCTGGAAAGGACATAACGGTTAAACTTGACCATTCGTGGCACAAAAATGTTTTACAGCAATAATAAATAAATAAACGAAATAAAAAATAAATTAAAATCATACTAAAGAGTATATAAGTTACCTGGGTCAGGCTTCTTTCTCTGAACTGTCTGGACTGTGAGAAGGACGGTAGCTGAGGTTTGGCATCATTAAAACTGGAAGTCCGTCGGAAATTTGGATTCTTATGATAAGAGTTTCCCACTGCTGCATGTCCTTCTTCTCTGAAACCTGTTAGCCCACTCCTCTCTACCATCTCTACCCAGTCAGCAGTGCGGTCATGCCACTTGGAGCTGCTCCTACTTGCGTGAGCAGCAACAGGAGGACCTACGATCAGTTCCACTCTAGGACTCAGTCTGTCCGGTGTGGCCCTAAAAGTTTGTGGTGGTGGTTCAGAAAAGGGAGCTGCAATGTGAAAATTCTTGAGTTTAGAATCACCCTGTAGACCTAAAGGGGAGGCAGAATGAGCAAATCCAATCGGTGTAGGAATGGGAGAGATGGTGGGTGAAGCAGATGTGTCTACAACAGTGTCATGGACAGGGCTGGAAGAGACATGGTACAGCTGTGTAGCCTCCTTTAAGCCCTTCTTCTTCATCTCTTTCAACTGTTGTTGTGCCAATTTGTACCTAGGCAAAAAATAGTTTCCGGTTTATTGTGTGTGTGTTTTTTTTAATAGCTGTGACAAAAAGGGCGCCATCTGGGATAGAATATTATAAATTTTAAAACATACCCAAATATTGGTGGAAACACCTTCTGGCCAGTGGGAGATAGTCTTTCTGGGTCCTGTGGGAGTGGTATCACCACGGTCTGTGAGAGAGGTTGACTTCCCAAGAAAGCCCCATCTTTTTGAGCTGCAGCCACACCCACGCCCCCTGAAGGGCTGTGAACATCAGACAGGCTGGGTCTTTGTAGGCTGTGCCCACAGATGGAAGCCTCATCTGAGAGCTTGCGCCCTCCAGGAGAATGCATGGAGCTTCTCCGGACAGAGCTGCATTGAGGGCTCTGGCAAAATTTTCTCCACACCGTCACCACAACAGTAGCCATAATCACAGCCAGACAAAGGGAGATACCAACTACCACAATCATGTTACTGCCCAAGGGTGCAACTCCAACCGGTGCAGGTGAGAGAGATGGAGAAGGAGCTGGTACCACTGGGACAAAAAGAAAAACAAAGTTTGGACACAAAACTGAAGAGAAAAAGCTTTAATCTAAGATACTGAAGTTTAGAAAGAGCAAGTTAAGGGTAAACAAACTCACCGACACAATCCTCTAATGAACACAGGGACTGCTCCTTGATCATGCCAGTGCACTGCATCCCTCGCACACCTGAGGGCAGTAAACACTCACGCACTCGTTCCCTCACCCCTTCTCCACAGCTCACGCTGCACACACTCCACGGCTGCCATGGCCCCCATGACTCTGCAGGATGCAAGGAAAGTGTTAAAACACGATAAAGCAGATTAGTAGTTTAAAACCTTTAACTCTGCATTGCTACATAAATTCCCTCCACTCCAATACACCAAAATCACACGGGCTAAACAATCTCACCTGCACTTTTGTAAGCCACCAGACACGTCTGTGCTGGACTGGGCGAGCGGCTGTAGTTGAAAACAAAGCGAAAGCAGTACTTATGCCTTCCCGGGTAAAACACGGAGCAGTTGAATTCAGTTTCATTCTCTCCCTGAGTCAGCCAGTTAAAGGCCAACGGGGGAGAAGTGGGCTCCTCTGCAGATGAAGCAGCATCGCTATACAGTAATACTTTCCCATTGATGTGAGCACAGGGCGGGGTGATCAATTTAACAGTCATAGTGCCTTCACAGCCACTCTTGTAAGCATTGGCATTTTCCACTAGCAGCTTATAGGAGAAGATACGGGACAGGTAGAGTGGTCCAAAGCTCTTCACCTCCTGTGCTGTGTGAGGAGACTGTAGAGCAACTCTTATGAAATCTCTGTCTGTGAATGGGAAGGCACAGGACAGTTCAACACTCTGAGAACGGAGGGGTTTGATTGGGATTCGCGTGAGGGCTCGGACCTTGTTGATGCTCTTATGACCTATTTGGTTGTACTCCATGTAGCTGACTTCTAGTGAGAGAGCAGAATCAATGCCGCTGGAACAAGCCTGAAAGTGCTCATTAGTGGATATCCCAACCTGAAGAGAAACAACAGAAGAGAAATATGATAATTATTTATGGTCATTGTTTTACAGCAGTATATACTGAAATGTGGTTTTTATTGCCTGAAAGGATCCAGAGTGGTTCCCAGCTCTCTCCACGGCAATATGAAAGGTTGGCCAATGGACTTGTAGTTCTGAACTCCACCACCAGGTAGTGCTCTCTCTGCTACTGCCCTCTGTGCTATTAGTAGGGAAAACAGTGGAGATGCTGGTTTGTCTCAGCAGGAACCGGAAAGTTCCTGCGTACGGGAAGCAGGAGCAGTTGAACTCCACCCTGCCAGCCGGTTGATTGTTGTGGAGAGTCTTGGTCAGAACAGTGGTGTTGCTTTCCGTGTTGACGAGAGATAGGCTCCTGCTCCGGATGGTGCTGCTGTTGGATTTTATGCTGAAGTCCACAAATACACTGCTGTTGCTTAGGGCAGAATGCAAGGAGGGCCAGATATTGAGCCCTGCAAAAGCTGCAGGAAAGAAAACACACAAGTAGATGTGAGAAAGACAGAGAAAGGAAAAAGAAAATGTTACACATTGTTCTACAAGTGGTGAATACACATTCTTAATATGTCCACAATGGGTAAAATTAAGTCTGGTTGTAGTTAACCATTAATGCATTTATTTAAAAAAAAATCCAGATTTTCCAAGCATGCAAGCAAAGTTTTACTGTACCTAAAGGTTGTTTCTAGTTCCATTTTGTTAGGTAAATTAATCAGAATGATAAGCTCAAGTGTGAGTTAATATTTGTGGCTGTTTAAAAAAATACTAGGAGTGTATGGGTCTGTTCATTTTTGTTGGTAATTTTACAAATTGTAGAAGGTTTTCTAGTAAAACTTGGCCTCAATTGTGAGTTTATAAAGCGTCAGTTTTGACAACACATTGTAACCATAATTTATAACAACGTGTCCTGTGTGTAATTATAATACTTTTATAAACCTCTTATACATTTCCCTTATCCAACATCAGATATATTGCCCAAACAACCACAAAGTATAGTTTTTTGCTCAGAACGACAGAACAAGCTCAGTGGAGTCCACATTAACAGGTTCAAAAGCAGTAAAGTATAGATATCAAACAGACAAAGAGTTAAACATGATTGAGTATATAAGCCAAGAATCAGGGTGCTATTAGTGGGGGGAAACGCACTAGTAGCATGTTATTTTAAGAGCTATTGTGCTCTGCATTGTGTAAATCCTGTTGTTGGGACCTCACATCCTCACAAAGGAAAGCGGGTGTCTGAAGAGGCCACGCATTAGCCTCGTTCAGCAGTCAATTAAAATGCAGTAAGATGATAGATTTGTAGAAACTCACCATATCCAATGAGCACTAGTAGGAAGGACAGCAGTGAGACAGCCTGTGGCATTCCGATACCTGTGCCTCCTTCTTCTCCAACACCACATGATCGTCCTATTCCACCATCACAACGCTGTGAAAAGCTTTAAATGGGGAAATCATAGAACAATAAAACAAAAAAACCAAGAAGATAATCCACAGAGAAGTACTAGATAGCAGTTAAGTGTGTGTACAAGAAGCTGTGCGCTCTTCTGCATGTATGGAAAACAGGAAGGCTAGAGTATGAACAGTGAACATGACTTTTCTGAATTTACACTGGCGTCTTCCTCTTCCTTTCATCTTCACAATGGGTATGGGGAGCTGCCACCATCACACCATCACACAAGAGAGGTTTCAAAAAAAGGAGGGGAGGCGGCTTTGTTCATCACAAACATGTAGTAGGCTGAAGCCAAACACTTGTCTGAATTGATCTATATAACAAACAATATATATATA